TCGGTTATAACTCTGGTTCCAGGCGGTCCAACACCTCTTCCAGCCTTCTTGGGTACTAGGCACACATACATAAAAGTGTAAACGCTTATATACATAAAGAACTATTTTTTTAAGTCTTCTTGGTGGGCATGGTGCACATGCCTTTAATTCCAGAACTCAAAAGGCAGAGGTCAGGTGATTTCTGCTAGTTCGAGGCCAGCCTTGTCTACATATAAAGTTATGGGACAGCCAGGGCTATAAAGAGACTGTCTCAAAAAAAAAAAAAAAAAGAGCTTCTCTTAATTTCTAGCACATGATCATCTTTTGGTTCTGACCCCATTTTTATCCACTCCTCACTCGCTTTTTCCACAACTTACTTGGCCAGATTACTAAAGCTCTAAATGCTAAGCTAAGCATCAATATGGGCATCAATATGATCATAGTACACTAAAGAGATCCCCTGGAGGCAGGATCACAGAAGACACGATCAGGGAAAAATGTCTACTTTCTTGACTGATAAAGAGACTAGAAAATCATGGTTCAAAGACATTTTGAAAAACTAATTAGCTGAGCATGATGGTGTATGCCTATAATCTTAGTACTTAAGAAGTAGATGCTACAAGTTCAAATGCAACCTTATCTATATTGTGAATTCCAGGTCAGTCAGGGCTACACAGTGAGACCCAGACTCAAAAGGCCAAAAAACTAGCCAAGCATGGTGGTACAGACCTTTAATCCCAGCAATCAGGAGGCAGGGGCAGGCAGATTTCTATTAGAGTTTAGCCTGGTCTACAGAGTGTTCCAAGACAGCCAGGGCTACACAGTGAGACTGTCTCAAAAAAAGCCAAAAACTATAAACAAAAAAAGGTCAAGTTTCAACAATTCTCCCACTTACCTAGTCTTTTTCTGCTTTGTCAATTCGGGCATGTCTAAATCAAAGAAAGAAAAAGCATTAAGAAGCATGATAAAATCTAGTAGCTCATGTCTTTTACTCCTGAAATTTAGTTTATAAATTAGTGCTAGTGGAATTTATATTTCCCTGAGACTGGGGACATAAGTCAGTGGTAGAGTACTACTTACTTACCACACCTGAGACTCTATGTCCAGCAATAAAAAGACAAAGAGAGGGAGGGAAATAGAAGAGACAAAAGAATTTTTATCTCTCATCAAGAAGACCCAGGAACCAAAAAGAGGTAAACAACACATAAGCAAAACATGAAGATATTCTCCTGCTCTTGAAAGCAGGGAACTAAACTTTAACAACCCAGAGAGAACACCAGAAGGGACAAACCTAGGACCAAATCAAGCCAAGTATCCCAAATCTGATTTATCTCTACAAGGACATTTAATATGCATGTTACTGTTGAAAGGGGGGCTCTTACTCACATTCCTCACTACTGCTGCTGCTGCTTGAATCCATATTAAAAATGTAACTAGGAGAGAAAAAGAGATTTTTAAAATGAGAGCTAATAACAACATAGTCCATAAGGTATCAATGCTGGGAACAACTAGTTTCTGAAATGCAACATCAGAAGATGCTTTAAGCCCTAAAATGTATTCAGGTTGGTCTCAATAGCAAGATCTTACCCCAAAACTAAAATAAGGATAATGTCTTGATTAGATCCTGGGCTGGCTTTAAACCTTCATATAATGGAAGATGATCTTTAAGTTTTTATCCTCCTGCCTCCCACTCTTAAGGACTGGGATTACAGTAGTGTGCCTGCCAAGCCCAGCATTAATGCAATGCTGGTGACTGAACCCAGGGTTTGATGCAGAGTAGGCAAATACTCTTATCAACTTAGCTACATCCCAGCCCCTATAATGTACTCTTTTTTAAAAAGAGAAGCTGAGCCTGGTGGTGCATGCTGTAATCTCAGAACTTGGAAGTCTGATGCAAGAGGATTCCCTAAGAGTTTGGGCCCAGTATAGACTATATAATGAGACTCAGGTCCAGCCTGTGCGAGAGCAAGACTCCCTAAAAAAAATCCCCCAAATACTTACTTTCTTTATAGATTAATAAAAATAGTCTATTACAATATATAATGTAAAACTCACCCATCTTTAATGTTTTTTTAAGACAAGGTTTCATACTGTAGCTCAGGCTGACCTGGAAGTCCCTGTATAAGCCAGACTGGCTTCAAATACTTAACAAGCTTCCTGTCAACTCAGCCTTCCCAGTGCTGTTTCTACCAACCTGTTTCCTTTCATTTTTAGGAGATTTGTTTGGTTGTTTGTGGTTCTACTTTATTTTACTTTATTTTATTTTTATTCTATGTGTGTTTTGCATGTCTGGGCCCATTGAGGTCAGAAGAGGTTATCAAATCCTCTGGGTCTGGATTTCAGGATGGTTGTGAGCCATCATGTGGGTACTGGGAACCGAACCCAGGTCCCCTGCAAAAGCAGCAAGTGCTTTTAACCACCGAGCCATTTCACCAGCCTCTAAGGAACTTTTGTTGTTTGTTTGTTTGTTTGTTTGTTTGTTGCCAAGACAGGGTCGGCCTGCCTCTGCCTCCTGAGTACTGGGATTAAAAGTATGTGCCACTGCTGCTGGGCAATAAATTAATAAATTTATTCACATATATATTCATGTATATATTCATGTATATGTATATGTATATCTTCTTGATTGCTGAGGTCTGTTGAACCAGGAGTTGGAGGCATATTTAGTTAACCTAATGTGAGATTCTGTATTTAAAAAAAATAGCTGGGGCTGGTGAGATAGATGACTCAAGGCAAAAGGCAACTAAGTCTAAAGCCCAGAACATGTGTAAAGGTAGGTAAAGTACCAACTCTACAGAATTTATCCTCTGAGCTCTACATGCAAGTACACACACAGCCCCTCCCACAAGGCAATGGCCCACTTTGTCTCCTCAGCTTCCCATTGGCTGTGCAGAATTCAGGCTTCTCCAACATTCCTGAGATCTGCATCCTATCCCCCCCAAGAGCTGCCTCCATTTTCTGAAACTTTCTAGAAACAAAACTGGCGTCTTGTCCTCCTCACCTCCGGGAGCTTCCACCAATCAGGCTTCGAGCTCACCCCGGCACTCCTCCTGCTAGGCCAGTAACTACTACACTGGCTATGGTTGTCCTAATTCTCCCCTCTGCTCAACACCCTTCTTTCCCGTACCTAAGCCTCAGCCGAAACCGTCTTCCTCTCCTACCCCACCATCCACTATGCCACCTGTTTTGGACAGGCACTGACTGAAAATGCTAGTCACTCGCTTCACTGTTCAGAGCCACCATTCCCCCATTCCAAACCTCACGACCTCCCCAAAACTTTCTCAAAACCACTCCACTCGGGTTTCTACCGTCATAATCCATGTCCTGCCCCACCTTGGCCTTTTCCATTGCCCGTGTCCCACACCCCTCAGCGTTTTCTATCGACTGTGTCCCGCTCCACCTCAGCCTTTTCCACCTCAGCGTGTCCGAAGCCCCTCGGTCTTTTCTGTTGCCCCTGTCCCACCCCAC